TGATAAGTTTCAGTAATGTTTCTGTTTCTCCCTGAATGTTTCAGTTTCTCCGTTGAATGTTTCAGTTTCTCCGTTGAATGTTTCAGTTTCTGTTTCTCCTTCTCTGCTGAATGTTTCAGTTTCAGTTCCAGTTCCTGTTTCTCCGCTGAATGTTTCAGTTTCTGTTTCCTGCTGGTAAGTTTCAGTTTTTGAAACTTAGGAAGGCCGGAATTTCCCAACTGCAAGCTTCCTTTGCCCCGCCTCCCTGCCTGGCCTATTTAAGCTGTGAGCTCAGCAACAATAAACAAGACTTGATCAGACTCCTGTCTTGTCTCCATTTCTCGCCTCTCCTTCCCATCCATCCCCACTCCCTCCCTTCGAGCTCCTGTTGTTGTCCTGCAGGTCGGGACATATAAGGAACTTAAAACAAATTTAGAAGAATAAAAAAAACAATCAAAAAGTGGGCAAAGGAAATGATAAGATACCTCTCAAGAGAAGACATTTATGCGGCCAACAAACATGAAAAAAGCTCAACATCACTGCTCATTGGAGAAATGCAAATCAAAACCACAATGAGATACCATCTTATGCCAATTAGAATGCTGATAATTCAAAAGTCAGGAAATAACAGATGCTGGAGAGGATGTGGAGAAATAGGAATGCTTTTACACTGTTTGTGGGAGTGTAAATTAATTCAACCATTGTGGAATACAGTGTGGGGTTCCTCAAGGATCTAGAAATAGAAATATTTGACCCAGCAATCCCATTACTGGGAATATATTCAAAGGATTATAAATCAATCTATTATAAAGACACATGCACATGTATGTTCATTGTGACACTGTTTACAGTAGCAAAGACCTGGAACCAACCCGAATGCCCATCAAAGATAGACTGGATAAAGAAAATGTGGTGCATATACACCATGGAATACTATGCAGCCATAACAAAGGAAGAGCTTATGTCTTTTTCAGGAACATGAATAAAGCTGGAAACTATCATTCTCAGCAAACTAACACAGGAACAGAAAACCAAACACTGCATGTTCTCACTGCTAAGTGGGAGTAGGACAATGAGAACACATGCACACAGGTAGGGGAACATCACACACGGAGACCTGTCAGGGAGTGGGAGGCTAGGGGAGGGATAGCATTAGGAGGAATACCTAATGTACTTGATGGGTGCAGCAAACTACCATGACCTATGTAACAAACCTGCACGTTCTGCACCTGTGTCCTAGACCTTAAAGTACAATAATAAAAAAACACTGAATATACACTAAAAAAAAAATTACACACACATTTCAAGCTCCATTTTTTTCCATAATACTTTATTTTTTGTAATTGTTTTAATGTAATTTTATGTTACATGTCTTATTCATGCAGTTACATGTAATATTTTATTAACTATTAGATAAATTAAAATAGGAGTGGAACTCTTCTTATGTGAAGGAGGTCCCCTAGCCTCTGAAATCACAGCCAACTAAGAGTGGCATTTAGGAGAAAAAAGAGAAAGAAACAGATGTTGGCTTCATGGTAGGTTTTGGGAAGATGCTCCATATTTCCTTTGGTTCCTGTTCCTTTGTCCCCTTCCTTCATCTGTACTATCAATGCTTAGCACTAGGCTAGTGGCCTTGCCTGTAATCTCAGTACCTCAGGAGCACAATGCAATATAGCAGGACTCCATTTCTACAAAAAATAAAAAAATAAAAAAATCAGCAAGTCATAGTAGCTCAGTCCTGAGGCAAGAGGATTGCTTGAGCTCAGGAGTTCAAGGCTGCAGTGAGCCATGAAGTTACCACTTTACTCCAGCCTGGGCAACCATCAGAGTGAGACCCTGTCTCTAAAAACAAAACAAAACAAAAAAGACAATCAGTTTGTCATTTCAAAGGAAAATAAGCCATGTGACTTAGAAATTAATAGTAGGGACAAAAGGAGTCTTGTGGGTCCCATGTAAGAAATTTAATCAAGCTTTTTAAATCACAAATTTGTTATCAGCTCTATCCATTTCTGTACCATATTAGATATTTTTGTGCCAATGACTAAGTCATAAAAATGCCTCTTCTTTTCTTTCTTGTTTTCTTAATGTATTTCAAAGCTATGCTGTTTGGCCCAGTTCATGGCTCATATCTTTACTGCGTATTGAATACTTTATTAAAATTAAACGACACTGCCAAAATAGAAGAATAATTAAAAATTTACATACAGATAATTTGCAGACTCTCATTCTGATCAATTTACCAAATTTAGATTATATTATCTGTTTCTCCCACAAAGGAAAGCTATTAACAGACCTAGATTTTTGCAATGATGAGTGGAAATTCCATATATATTTCTGTGAATATATAGAATATTTTTGAGTATTTTACCCATGTTTATTAAAAATTTGAATTATTATATGAACTGTGTAGTTATGATTTTAGTAATTCTATGTATTCTCTATTTTCTTATCATTGATATTTAGTGACGGCTTACCACTGTGAAATAGTAACCCCTGGTCTGCTATGTGGGTTATAAAAGTGGCCTCTTCTCCAGCCACTTGTCTTTCAAGTTTTTATTACTTGTAGATGTTTCCCAGTGTATTATAACTGCCTCACACCTAATTTAAAGGAATTGTTTTGTTTAACTCTACTTAAGTCTTTCCAAATTATTAAGCTTACATGGAAATAAAATCTCTTTCTGCACTTACATGTAGTTCTTCTATGAAGTAGATTACCTGCATAACCAAGAAGTGTTTTGTGGACTGGTTTGGTAACACATTTAAGTGAATTGGTTGTAAAAGTGCTATTAAATTGATAGAAGTTTAAAGGTATTGGGGTACTAAAGGGATCCTGGGGCACGAGATATTTGAGTGTGCCAATTACATACCTGTATTTATTCCTAATTGGGTGTTCAATAGTTGCAATCCAATTTCTTCAGCAGTTAATTATTTTCACAGAGATTTTGAACGTCACCATTTTCGTGTATTAAGTTCTTATATGTGTGTTTCAGAATCTCTGTTCTCTCCTAGGGGTTTGTCTGTTCACATTCTGCATTGCCAGGCCCTTGTGCTGCAAGGAAGGAGGCTTCGTCTGCTTCTGTTCACAGGGGAATCACTGTTCCTTAGCTACTGCAATGCTGGTGCACAGTAAGGAGTCCTTGCCCTCTTACTAAAATGTGTCCCTACATTCCAGATAAATATTCTTTTCCATAATGTTATTGATCAACCACATTACTCTGAGATAGTGCTGTGAATTACCAGGTAAGCAATCTCCCTATTCCATTTCTGACCCAACCTCCCATCCTGTCTTCTCAAACCTCACACGGTCCCCCCGAAACTCATGAGGAGTCACATAAAAATCCCCACAAACCTTAACTTCTACAACTGTTCTCATCACCTGCCTGCCCTTCTCCGTCTTGTCTGTGCCATGCCCCTCAGCAAAGCCACTTTTTCTTGTACTCCAAGACCTTCATGTCTTGGACAATACTGTGGATACCGTTCTTATTCACGTTTGCTCCCTATCCTTTATTTAAAGAAAATCTCAAGACAAAGTAAAATTCCTCCAGCAGTCTTACTGTCTGCATCAGTATTCCTAGTGGCTTCTACAGTCCCTGCCTCCAAGCCCACTGATGTGGTTTGGATGAACGTCCCCTCCAAATCTCATGTTGAAATGTAACCATCGATATTGGAGTTGGGCTTGGTGGGAGGTGTTGGATCCCAAGGTGGATTCCTCATGAGTGGCTTGGGGCCATCCCCTTGGCGATGCATGTTAGCTGGTCATTTATAAAGACTCTGGGACCTCCCTGCTCTCTCCTTGCTTGATACCTCTCTCCATGTGAGGTGCCTGCTTACCCTTGGCCTTCTGCCGCGACTGGAAGCTTCCAAAGTCCTCCCCAGAAGCCAGTGCCAACACCACACTTCCTGCAAAGCTGGCAGAACAAAAATTAAACTCTTTTCTTTCTAAATTACCCAGTCTTCAGAGCAATGCAGGTAGACTAACACAGCCTCCCTTCCTTCCATCTCCACCTGCAACACTCTAAAGCAATTTCTCTTCTGAAATGAGGGAAGGAACATCTCTTCTCAAAGGCAGCCACCGCGGTAAATTCCATGCTCTTGAATCCGCAGCGTCCCTGCTGCTCCTGGATTTTCTTCGACCTCATGGCTCTTGGTTTTGAGGGTTCTTCTTGATCCATTCTCAAGTTCTAAATGTTGGAGTACTGTAACCTTCACCCTTCGGATTCTCTGTATTTTCTTCGTAAACGATCTCATGTAGCCTGTGGCTTTAAGGACCATTTCGGTATTATAAGGAATGTATATGTTCATGACTCCCAAACATATTTCTTCAGCTTCAAACCCTCCAGTGAGTTCCAGCATTGTCTTTTCAATAGCACCGTTCACAGGACCAGCAGCTCAGCAATTGCTTTCGTGGTGGTAGCAAACATACCCTGCAACAAAACTCCTGATTCTTCAAACAGTTTCTCCTATTGGTAGTGCCCATCCTGATAAACGACACTATCATCCAGTTTCTTGAGCCCATATGCTCTAACTATTGGATCCTTCCCCTTTCCCAGGGCTATCACCTAGGGCACTAGCAGGTCCCACACTATCTTTTAGGTCAACCCCAAACGTGCCTGTACCCTTCCAGATGCATCACTTGCCTCTCAGACCAAACCATCCCCATGGGGTACTTATCTCCGGTGCTTTCTGTTTCCACTGTTGTAGCCAAAATCGTGTTTTTAAAAATATCAACCAGATCCTGAGACTGTCCTCTGCTTAACACCCCTGGTTTTAGAATAAACCCTGTTCTCTGGCCCCAGTGCCTTGTAGTGTCACGGTCTATTTCTGTAACCTCCAGTTCTACCGGGCTTATATTTGGACTTCAGTTAAATGGAAATTATCCCCCCCCCCCCCTTGCCATTGCCTGGAACACACTTTCCCCTTTGTTTTAGCATAAAAAGCTCTTCCGTTATTATTATAAATATGTAGATTTTGTGCAGAGAAATGCTTTTAATAAGATCAAATATTTAACTAAACAACCTGGGCAATCTAACAATACAAACTAGAAGGCATGGAGGAAAAAAGCAAGCCTTCCCGAAAGGCCTCTTTTCAGAGCAAGGGCAGGAAGAAGGGCAGGGAGGAGCGGGCCAGCAGGGCAGAGCTGCTGGGGTGGCAGGGAGCGCCAAGGGAAGACGGGGTATGCAGACGGGGCAGGGGCTGGATGCTCGATAACGTGGGGTCAGGGTCCCATGTCGGGGTACAGCAAGGACGAGCAGGTCCTGAGTCCCAGGAGGTGGGGGGCAGGGCCCGGATTCTTAGGAGCCGAAGGGGCCGGCGGACCGCGCGTCCTGCAGGGCGAAGGGGACCGTGCCGCAGCTGCCGCAGGAAGGCGGCCTGGCCTCCCAGAGCGCCCACACCGCGGCCGGCGCGGGCTGCACCAGCACGAACGGCCGCGCGTCCTCAACGACCCCGAGGCTCCAGGAGCCGAGGCTCGGCTTCAGAGGCCCGGGCCTGGGCACGAAGGCGGCAGCCGCCCCGTTTTTGGTCAGGGGCGTGAAGGCGGAGGGCCGGGGCTGCGGGTTCCGCCTGCCACCCGCGCTGTCTGCGCCCTGCACCCCCAGCGGCCCGCGCATCGTGGCGCGCCCCGTGCGGCCCGGGCTGAGCGCCGCCGGCGGGGTCTCCGGGGTGCGGGGGCCGGCGAGCCCCTGCGCGGCGGGGTGGCCTGCGGGGCGGGCTCGCTGTCCTGGGGACCCCCAGGGGCTCTCCGGGTGCTCGGGAGGGGCGGTCCTGACGGTCACCGGGCTCCAGGTGCTTCCTGGGTTCGCGGCTCGCCACGGCCCCCGCTTCGTGCCGTCCTCCCCCGCGCAGAAGGGCTCTCGCCCCGGGACGGTGTCCCCGGGCCCGGCCGGGCGGCTGTAGGCCTCGGGGATCCCCCGCTGGGGCTTGGCGGGGTCCCGGCGGGGCCGCAGCTCGGGGAGGCGGGTGCTGCGTGCCGGTCGCCCCCACTGGACGTACTGAACGGGGCCCGGAGTCCGGGACGGCGGTGGCCGCGGGCTCCGGCGACCCCGGGGGGACGGCGCGGGCCGGGGCCTGCCGGGGGAGCAGCTCATGGGAGCCGCCCGGGCGGGCCTTGCAGCGGGGGTTCGCCCTCCGGACGCTCCCGAGGTCTGCGGGCTCGGCCCGAGCTGCAGTGCCCGCGGCTGGGGGACCGTTGGCCTCCGGGCGCCTGGGAGGCACGTGGGGCGCGGGGGCGGGACCCTCCACTCGGGCGCCGCGCGCAGGCCGCGAGCCGGGACGCCCCGACCGCGGGAGGACAGGAGGCCCAAGCCTCGTTCCCGCCGATACCAGCAAGTTTGTCTCTAGAGCTAGGGGCCTAGGAGGTACCACGGTCTCCTCCCCTCTCCTCCTCCGCCCCCTCCCCACTGCTTCCCCTCCCCCTCTCCCCCCACTCTTCTCCCCCCTGCTCCCTCTCTCCCCACTACCCTTCCCCCCTGCTCCTCCTGCTCTCCCCACCTGCTCCCCCTCCCCCCTGCTCCCCCTACCCTCTGCTCCCCCTTCCCCCTGTTGCCCCTGCTCCTCCTGCTCCCCCTACCCCCTGCTCCCCTCCCCCTCCTCCACCTGCTCCCCTCCCCCTCCTCCACCTGCTCCCCCTCCTCCACCTGCTCCCCTCCTCCCTGCTCCTCCTCCACCTGCTCCCCCTCCTCTCCCTGCTCCCCCTCCTCTCCCTGCTCCCCTCCTCCACCTGCTCCCCCTCCTCCACCTGCTCCCCTCCTCCCTGCTCCTCCTCCACCTGCTCCCCCTCCCCTTGTTCCCCCTCCACCTCTCCCTCTTGTGATGTCCTTCATATACCAAATAATTCGCCAACATGAAGTGCAGAATTCAGTGGGTTTTATAATACAACCATACAAGTGTGCCCATCACCATAGTGAATCAGAAAAAACTTTCATCACTTCAAGAAGAAGCCGGTACCCTGTAGCTGTCACCTTCCTACCCACCTGTCCTCTCGGCCGCGACAGCCAGGAATCCACTGTCTGTTTCTGTAGACTTCCCTCCTGTGGGCTCTCCTATGGCGTCACTTAGCATGATGATTTCCAGATTCTTCCTTGCTGGGACCTGTACATCCTTCCCTTTCATGTCCAATAAACGATTCCGTTGTATGGATATACCACACTGGCTTAGCCTTTCGTCCAGCTGATGGACGTTTGTGTTGTTTGCACGTTTGTGCTTTTGTCATAGACATCGGTGGACAAGATTTTGTGCAGACCAGTATTTCCATGTCTATGCAGTATGTAGTTGGGAGTAGAATTGCTGGGTCTGTGGTGAGTCCATGTTTAACTTCTTGAAGAACCACCAGACTGTTCTTCGCCTCTATACCGTGTTGCGTCCTCACCAGCAATGTTGCTCTATTTTATACTGGACATTTAGAAAGAAAAATGTATAATAATACCTGCAGAAAACTGCAGATAGACTGTTGACAGGAGGGCATTCTCTTTCATTATCATAAAAACGAACATAACTCACTGAAATGCTTTTAAGAAAAACAACTGGTTTTGTTTTAGTATATAAGATACATGTTTTATTCTTCTAGAATTGCTGTTAATGTCACATCTTGAGATTTACCTTTTAAGGAAATGGTGGTTATACACCACAACTTACGTTTGAGAACGGACAATGATGGTTTTACGTAGACTCCTATAATTTTAAGCTTTTATACATTCATATATAGATTTTCTTCCCTTCAGACATTAATGCAGTTTTTTCCATTTTTAATATATCTATATGGAGGAGAAGGATTCACTTTTGTAGCTACCAGATGAAAAGATCTGCCTACAAAAACATTATTTGCAGGCTACTGGGCAGCTGATTGCAGCGATCACATTTGGAAGTCTGTTCAAGGTTGTGTAAGACAAGCTGCTCTGGAGAGCCTCTCAGCAGCGTTGCAGAAGGCAACACCTAAGTGGGTCCAATCATAGGGGCAAAAAGTAGCGACTGACAAAATTCCAAAGCCAACAATCCACAACAAGTTTTCTTTTGGAATTTGAGAGACAAGCAAGTGAATGGTGAATACACTAAAAAAAAAAAAAAAAAAAAAAAAAAAAAAAAAAACCTTAATGAGGCCCGGCGTGGTGGCTAACGCCTGTAATCCCAGCACTTTGGGAGGCCAACGTAGGCGGATCATGAGGTCAAGACCAGCCTGGCCAACATGGTGAAACGCCGTCTTTACTAAAAATACAGAAATTAGCTGGGCGTGGTGGTGTGTGCCTGTGGTCCCAGCTACTTGAGAGGCTGAGGCAGGAGAATTGTTTGAACCCGGGAGGCGAAGATTGCAGAGATTGCGCCACTGCACTCCAGCCTGGCACCTGGCGACAGAGCAAGACTCTGTCTCAAAAAAAAAAAAAAAAAAAATGCTTAATGAGAAATCTCCACGAAGGTTTTGTAGTTCAGAAAGGGGCTGATTATCAGGGAAGGAAGGGTGGTGTCAGCCAAGAGGAGCAGCAGAGAGGGCCCCAGGACTTTCCACTCACTGACTCATTCATTTTCATTCTTCCAGATTCCTTAGGTAAGAATCCTCCAGTATGAGATTTTGAAAACACATTCACGATGCTGTAACTTTCTTCTTAATAAGACATTTCTTGATAAGGATGACAATAATGTTGATAGCTAAAAAGCCTCTTTAGATGGTATTATCATTGGAGTGGACGGTTAATGCAGTGGGAGTCTAGAATTTTTCTTAATATCTACACCGTTTTCTATGTCTTATTTGAGGTACAACCCAATGGGAGTCATTTTGGTTTGTTTTTGGTTAAAGACCCTTCAAAATCTCACGATCTTCCTGCTGGTGAAGTCCAGGCAGCCATAAGTTAGTAGTCAAGTCTAATTATACCTTCCCAGACAAAGGTGAATAGCTATCTCACAGATATTCAACATGTCTGTTTCGTTTCCTTTTCACACGCTAAGAGACAACTGCTTTCTCTTGGTTAGATAATATTAGAGATGGAGGTAGAACGGTAGCTTTCAATTAGAGACGACTTTGCTGTACCTGTACCCTCTCACCCCCACCCACCCATCTGAGGCCATTAGAGAGGGTCTGCAGCTAAGGTTACACAGGGACCTGGGTGCGCTGCCTGCATCTATTGAGTGGAAGCCTGAGGCCCTGCTGAATGGCCCTACTGTGCTGAAAACACACTCCCACAACAGAGTGACCTGCCCAAAAATGTGAGCATGCAGAGATTGAGAAACACCTCTTCAAACCCTCTGCTAAGGTTATTAAATTACATAACAACTAAGTTATGTTTATCAAAGCTAATGCATTAACATTAGGTTCTGTCTATTAAGTAAACTCCAGTCTGTATTTGGATTTCACTGGTTTTTCTTTTTCCTTCTTTCTTGCTTTCATCTTTCATTTTTCTTTTTCTTTCTTTTTTTCTTTTTCTTTTTTCTTTTTTTTTTTTTTTTTTTTTTTTTTTTTTTTTGAGACAGAATGTCTCTCTGTCACCAGGCTGGAGTGCAGTGGCACCATCTCGGCTCACTGCAACCTCTACCTCCCAGATTCAAGCCATTCTCCTACATCAGCCTCCCAAGTAGCTGGGACTACAGGTGTACTCCACTACACGCAGCTAAATTTTGTATTTTTAGTAGAGATGGAGTTTCACCATGTTGGCCGGGATGGTCTCAATCTCCTGAACTCATGATGTACCCAACTTGGCCTTCCAAAGTGCTGGGATTGTAGATGTGAGCCACCACACCCGGCCTGGTTTTTGGTTTTTCTTTGAACTCACTTTTCTTTTCTAAGAACTAATTGTCTTCAGTCTTTCTAATCTGTGAGACTTGCTCAGTCTTTTCATATGGCCCATTATCTTGATACTTTTGAACAAAACTGAACAAGTATTTTCTGGAAATGCTCAGTTTTTAAAAACTTACCTTTAGCACTTTAATTATTTATTACCTGTCAGCCAAATTATCCATTCAGATAGTTTAAAATGCTAGATCACTCTAAATTCTTATTGAAAAGACAGCACATCTATGCCATTTATCCTATTTTATTACCCAGAGAAATCTGGCTTCATGGTTTTCCATGTTTTTAAGCTGATTTTCTTTCCCTGAGCACTGCTGCCTGTGCATTAGCTCTTTCTGTCCTCTGTGGCTCTATTTTGCGAGCTCTCAGGTCTTTACATTTTCTCATGTTTGTAGAGCTGATAGCTTCATTATGTTCAATAACTTCGTGCTACATTTTGATCGTAATTTTCTTTCCTTCTATTTTTTACTCAGCACTATTTTTTGATAAACATTTAAAAAACAACTTTATTGAGACGTAATTCTTATGCCAGACAACTTACTCATTTGAAGTACACAATTCAATCTTTTTTAGTGTATTCACAAATATGGTCAGCCATCAGCCCGGTAAATTGCAGTATCTCTTCATTTCAAAAAGAAACCGAGCCCTGTGGCTATCACCCAGCACCTCTCCACACCATTCTCAGCCCCAGGAATCACTAATCTACTTCCTGTCTCTAGATTTCTGTATTGTGCACTTTTTTTTTTTTTTTTTGATACAGAGTTTCACTCTGTCACCAGGCGCCAGGCTGGAGTGCAGTGGCGTGACCTTGGCTCACTGCAACCTCCACCCCCGGGGTTCAAGCAATTCTCCTCCCTCAGCCTCCCGAGTAGCTGGGACCACAGGCGTGCGCCACCACGCCCAGCTAATTTTTTTTGTATTTTTAGTAGAGACGGGGTTTCACCATGTTGGCCAGGATGGTCTCGATCTCTTGACCTCGTGATCTGCCCACCTCGGCCTCCCAAAGTGCTGGGATTACAGGCGTGAGCCACCGCGCCCGGCCTATTGTGCACTTTTATATAAATGGAATTATATAACATGCATTATGTTGTGACTGGCTTCTTTTGTTTAATATGCTAATTTTAAGGTTATCTATATTGTAGCAGGTACTTCATTCCTTGTAATATGCAAAATATGTTTCAGTTTATGTTTATGCCATATTTTGTTTATCCTTTTGTTAGCGGATGGATATTTGGGCTATTATGAATAATGACATTCTAAATATTCATGTATGAATTTTTTTGGAGATAAATATTTTATGTTTGAATTATACACAGTAGTAAAACTTCTGGGTCATTTGATAACTAACTTAATTATTTAAGAAACAGCCAGACTGTTTTACATACTGGGCATATGGTTTTACATTCCCACCAACATGCATGAGAGTTCTGATTTCTCTGCATTCTCACCAATGCTGATTATTATCTGACTCTTTGATTTTAGCAATTCTAGTTTGTGGGAAGTGGTATCTCATTGTGGTTTTGATTTGCATTTTGCTATGACTAATGATATGGAACATATTTTCATGTGTTTATCAGCTATTGGTATCCCTTTCTTGAAGAACGGTCGTCAAATTTTGTATTCATTTTTAATGGGGTTATTTGTATTTTTATGGAGATTTAAATGTTCATTAAATATTCCGCTTACAAGTTTCTTATGAGATACATGAGATTACAAATACTTTCTCCTGTTCTGTGGATTGTCTTATTTTCTTTAAAGCAAATTTTTTTTATTTTAATAAAATCCAATTTAAAATGTTTGGTTGTGAGATAGACAGATAGATAATAACTTATTTGGGAGGGCTTACCTTGAAAGCTATGGAGTCAGTTCTAGATAAGAAGTACAGATACTGAGATTTTTCTTAGCTCATTTACGATATTTATCAAAATGAAAGAAAAAGTGTCTGCCTGAGAACCAAAGCAAGGGTACATTATGACTATGACTTGTGGGTTCCTTAAAAACATAAAATTATGTTTATGAGTGTGCTAACGGGGGTGTGTGTGTGTGTGT